GGTCTTGCTCCTCCTCCTCCTCCTCCTCCTCCTCCTCCTCCTCCTCCTCCTCCTCCTCCTCCTCCTCCCCCTCCTCCCCCTCCCCCCCTCCCCCTCCTCCTCCTCCCTCTCCCCCTCCTCCTCCTCCTCCTCCCCCCCTCCTCCCCCTCCTCCTCCTCCGAGCTCCGAGCTCCCACGGTCGCCGCTGCCCCCGCCGTGGGCGGCAGAGGGGAGGCCGCCGCCCAGCGCCGCCTCCGCCGCCCGGGCCTGCGGCGGCACGGCGCCCGGCGCCGCCGGGCCCCGCCCCGAGGAGCGCGGCCGGGGAGCCTCCCAGGGGCAGCTCGGGGGCGGAAGAGAGGGGGGTGATGACCAGGGTGCGGGCAATACTTCTGTCTATATCCACTGCAGTATGGAGCTCCGGGCGCCCTTCCCAAGAAACCCGAGGCGCACTGGACATGGGTAAATTTGCCCCCTAGAGGTTCGATTTTTATCCATATCCAGTTCGCCTCGGCCTTGTGGCGCCGCTTCCAAAAAAGTCCAAGAGGCATTGGATATGGCAGCTCGGGGGCGGAAAAGAGGGGGGGGGATGACCAGGGGCCAGAGCCCCGAATCATCAGGGGTAACTCGGGTCAGGGATAACTCGGGTTCGTTTTTCGGGAATCCAAGCCCGAGTTACCCCGGACCCGAGTTACCCCGGACAACTCGGGCGCCCAGAGCCCCGAATCATCAGGGGTAACTCGGGTCAGGGCTAACTCGGGTTCGTTTTTCGGAAATCCAAACCCGAGTTACCCCGGACCCGAGTTACCCCGGACAACTCGGGCGCCCAACGGGGGGGGGATATCATGGCGTGGGCCATGATTTGTCCCCAGAGTTCATGGCGCCTCTTCTTATTTCTTTGCGTCCCTGGCCCCCCCGCTGGGCCGCGCACGTGCCCTCTTGCCCCCTCTTGGACGCCCCCCTCTTGGACACCCCCCTCTTGGCCGCTCCCGAGCAGCGCTAGTTTTAGGTCGGGCATGTCCCCCTACATGCAGACTTTAAAGACAAAATCCGACGTACCCCAAAGATGCGAAAAACAATTTAAAATAAATCGTGCTAGTCAAGCCGTGGCGAAACGTCCTAGCTCGCCTATAGGCACACCAAACGATGTTCTAAGAACCTCTTGTGGTTTGCACGAGATGTTCTTAGAGAGCATTTCTGGCTGAGACCGTCGTGTTCCAACACATAGGGTTTATGTTCTAAGAACGTTGTTTTGTTATTGGGACATTTTCGGGTTCTAAGCACATTCGGTGGCAGGCCTGTAAGAATGTCGGGACGGTCGGTCCCTCCCAGGGGCAGCGTTGGGCTTGCGTCTGGCATGTCCCCGCACAGTAGGAACATCATAGCGCCAACACCGCAGAGTGGATTTCGTTTGGAAAACGGTGGGATGGGCCCGGAATGTCCTGGAGAATGGCGTTCCGGATTTCGAATTGAATTTCGTGCGGATTTCGTTTGGCCAGGAACGAAGACTAAAACAGTCCACGTGAAATTCACTTCGTTGTTCGCTCGCCGCTTCGGGGTTTCGCATTGGCAGAACCCCACGCGAAAATCCGCTACAGCACGTCTGCAAAGTCGGTGCAATGAGCAATATTCAAAAATATTCAAACAATAGCCTGGGGACGATTGTTCGACGATGTTTGACCCTTTTTAAGCATGTGTTGGTTATCTGTGATGTTTCGTTTGAAATGCGCCTGTATCTTGTTTCGCTTTCGGCCTCGCGAGAGCGTGACACAAAAACGGCTCGGGAGGAAAACCGGGCCCCGGGGAAGTGGTCGGGACCTCCGGGGCCCACGCATCGACAAAAATTGGAGCGGCCGGGGGGGATGCATCGCCCCCCAGTTCGGGGCGGCTTTCCAGCCTCGGGATGCGTTCCAGCAGCTGCGTCTCGCAGCTGGAATGCCGAGTTATGGCTCGAAAACCACCTGGGGATAGGCATGGGGGGGGATGCATCGACCCCCAATCACCCATTTCTCGCCGATAGGGGCCCAAATAGCCTCACACTGCCCCGGAGCGTGTGGACTCACTGTCAGGGGCCTATCGCCGATCTATCGCCGATGTATCCCAGGTCGATGTCCTTCCCCTTGTGCCAGTCCCCACTTGTATCGTTGCCCCTCATTAGGGGGGAGGCTCTGTCGGGCGGTGCTAGGACCAGGATAGGTCCGTTCCACAGCCTCCCGGAACGCTCTCAAAGCGTTCCGGAGCGTCTGAGATGGTTGCGGCGCCCGAGACATTTTCAAGAGCCGCCGGCTCTCAGAGATTCTCGATTTCTCCTTACCAGAACTCATCCTCGTCGTGGCTTCGCCTTACTTGCTCTCGCAGCGGCAACGTCAGGGAGGGAGGCTCGGAGGGTGGAATCGGGCATAGCCAAGCGTCCGATCCTACTCCAGGGCTCCCAGGCTCGGAGGGAGGAGAAGCGATATCAACACCACCAGGGGGCCCACCGCCAGCGAGGAGGTCCACGATGCCTCTCCGAGCTGGAGGCTGGGGATGTCTCGAGCGAAAGGGGGGGACCACACCACCAGGGAGTTCCCCCTTGCCTCCTCGCATCTCCTCACCCTGTTGGTGTTGGTGTCGCCTTTCCTTGTTCCTACAGGCCCAATGTGATCAAAGATCTTTCGTTCACCTCCAAGCTCAGGCCAAGCCCATATCTCCCAGGCCCGCCTCCCAGTCCGTAAGTTTGTCCTCGGCCTCGGTGTCGGGCATAGCCAGGACCCAGGGTAAGGAGCACCGGTTAGTGATGGGGCCCCGAGGCCCCCAAGTCGGCCAGGATCACTGAAGCAGGTCTGCCGTCTTGTTTGCTTCGTCGGGTGACGGCATGCCTGGTTTGTGGACTGGGGCAGTTGGAGCGTCCCCAGGCACACGTCACTAAACAAGGTCCGAAACAGGAGGAGGAAGAGGAGGAGAAGGAGGAGGAGTAGGAGTAGGAGTAGGAGTCAAGCTAGCCAGCTCGAGCGAGTCAAGCATGGCATGCCCAGTCCCACCCGCCCTCCCACAACAAAAGAAGCAAAGCTGGCACAACTGGGGGCCGAAGTCACACCGGCCAGCCGGTTTGGTACAGCTGATGCGGCCGCGATGGCGGTTGCCGACGGGAACTGGCGAGCGCGTGTTGAATGCCGCGCACGCATTGCCAGACGAGTCGAGAATGGCCCGGTACACCGCAGGAAGCCAGAGGTGGCCGGAGGAAGCCCGACGGTCTGACAGGACACCCCAAAGCATTTTTGTGAAAAAGCATTGGGTTTTTGATGTTTTTATGTTGAAATGCTTGCAAACACACGGTGTTCGGTAGGATTCTGACATGAACGCGCGAGTGTGCTCTTTGTGGTATTTTTTGCACAGGATTCGCGGCCTGGGTCCATGACAGAGCATCGCGAGTGCACCGCGCGATGACGTGAAATCGCTGGATTTGACAGAATTCTTAAGATTCCTATGGTTTTCCTATGATTTCAGCAAGAGAGCCCGGGCGGGAAATTTGTACAATTTTTGTGAAAAAGCATTGGGTTTTTGATGTTTTTATGTTGAAATGCTTGCAAACACACGGTGTTCGGTAGGATTCTGACATGAACGCGCGCGTGTGCTCTTTGTGGTATTTTTTGCAATGGATTATCGCCGTGGACGACAGGACGTCCATGTCGAGAGGAAAAAATAAGAAAAATGTTGATTTTGTATTGTTTTTTACAGGTTAGGATGGGACCACCCGGATGCGGCCCCTATCTGCCGGCCTGAGGGGGGAGTAGGAGTATATTCTAATAAGGAATAAGGATAGGAGTAGGAGAGGAGGAGAGGAGGAGGAGGAGGAGGAGGAGGAGGGGGAGGAGGAGGAGAACGCCCGATGAAGGTGTGTGAGGTTTCGAGGCGCCCGCGTCGGTGGTGGGCCGCGTTCCGGCCTCGGGGTGCCCTTGCAGCGGCCGCGCCTGGCCGGGGGCGCTCCGGGGGCGCCCGCGTCGTCCCGAACGGTCGCCGGGAGGGCGGAGTTATGCCAATGCCAGGGGGGGGGGGGGAGATCAGGAGGGGAAAAAACACACTGACATAATTAATCCTCGATTCCCCAGAACATATAGGAAATACGGGAAGTGGGGGGGAGACAAAAACCCGGAAAATATGGGAAAGTATGCGGAATCATTTTATTTGTGTGTATTTACTTGTGTGTCCTGGGGCCCCTTCATGATAGGCTCAAAGGGGGGGATGCATCCACCCCCCATCGCCCCTTCACCGCCGCTGTGGGCCCCGTCCCAGACGTGCGACGTCCTGATGTTTGCAGGAAGGCACCCCTGGAAGTCCCGACCCTTTCCCCAAGACCGGTTCTTCCTCCGGAACCCTTTTTTGACGGTCCCGAGGCCCAGCGAGGGCTCCCCGGGGCCGAACATGGCAGAAAACTTCCCGCCCTGCTTTCTGTGACGATCCGGTCATGTCTGGGACAGGGAGCCCCTCTCCTCCCAAGGAACGTGCGGCTCCGCCATCGGAGGCCCCCGTCGCCGATCTGACGACGGCGCATCGCCGACTGCAGGTCGCTGTTGTCCCCCCCCAAAGAGCCGGTCCTTCCCCCCTTGCGCTGCCCCCCCCTCGAGAGGGGGGCGAGAGGACTGGGGCGCCGGCTTCTCCTCCTCCCCCTCCTCCTCCTCCCTCCTCCTCCTCCTCCTCCTCCTCCTCCTCCTCCTCCTCCTCCTCCTCCCCCTCCCCCTCGTCCACCACCTCCCCCTCCCCTTCTCCTCCTCCCCCTCCTCCTCCCCCTGCTCCTTCTGCTCCTCCTCCTCCTTCTTCTCCTCCTCCTCCTCCTCCTCTTCCTCGTCCTCCTCCTCCCCCTCCTCCTCCTCCTCCATGGCCGCCCGTAGCCATTGGCTCACGTTGCCATTTTGTCAAGGCAGCTGGCCAGGACAGCTTGTTTACCACCCTGGGGCAAGCCCCGACCAGGCCCTCGGGTGGTGTACGTGAGCTCCTGGGGGAGCAACTGCTTTCATCACGATTCCATCTCAGTTCAGCCCGCCGCCATGTCAGACCGCAGGCGTGGAGGCGGCAAGTCCCCAGCTCCGAGGGTTTCTTTCTCGACGGACTTCGTGGGATGCAAGAAGTGCGGCTACCGGTGGACCTACAAGAACAAACAGTCGTGCTACAGCTGTGGGCAGGCCGTGCGACCATCGTACTCCCCTGCTCCCAAGCCCCGTGGCGTCTGGGCTAGCGGCAGCAGAGGCTGGTGGCAGGACAACCGCAAAGGTCAGGCCGACTGGTACCAGGACGTCGAGGAGACCGCGCAGAGGACCGAGCCGCTCGCGATCGGCGAGGTGGTGCAGACCCTTGGCGGGCAGGCCGTCTCGGAAGCCCAGCGGCAGGCGCTCCAGCAGCTCGAGAGCGCCTTCGCCCCACCGCCCCCTGCAGAGCGCCCCGCGCTCCTGGAGGAAGGCATCCAGCGGGCGGCTGCGGCGGAGAGGGCTGCTCGTCGGGAGCTGGAGAAGCGTGCCAAGCAGCTGGCCGACGCCAAGCTCTGGCTCGACGAGTGCCAGTCTCGCTCCGATGCGGCGGCGGACGCCCTGGTGGTCGCGGAGGACAAGCTGGCGCAGGAGAGGAAGGCGTTGTCGGCTCCAGCCAAGGATCCTCAGCCTGAGGGGTCCAACAAGGGCGGCGGGGTCATCAACCTCTCTGCCCTGCTGGGCGAAGGCGAAGCCAGTTTTGTCATCGAGGACGGCCCCCTCTTCGACCTGGAGGGGCTGGACATCACATCCGAGCAGCGTGAGCAGTTCAACAAGCTCAAGCAGACATTCGAGGCGTCGGTGCAGCAGGCGGTCCGTACGCACTTCGGGCCAGGGGCCGACGTCCTCAAGTCCCAGCGCGAGCAGCTCGAGGAGATCAGGGTGCTCCGCGAGACCTTCAAGAAGCGCAGGCGCGAGGACCCTCCTGCGGCTGCGGCGGCAGCAGAGGCGCCAGCGCCCCAGAGCCCTGAGGGAGGCCCGCCGCAGGCGCCTGCCCAGGCCAAGCGCGAGGACCCTCCTGCGGAGGCGGCGGCTGCAGAGGCCCCAGCGGCCCAGAGCCCCGAGGGAGGCCCGCCGCAGGCGCCTGCCCAGGCCCCCCAGGAGGCCCAGCAGGCTGCCCAGCCCGCCGCGGGGCCGCAGGGATCCCAGGGCGCGACGCCAGGCGCTGCCAGCGCTGATGCTGGCCCTGATGCTGGTCGTGAAGCAGCTGGCAAGGAGCTGGCGGACGCCCTGCAGCGCGCCAGGGCTCGCAGGGCGGAGGCAGAGGCCAAGCCAGTGCCTCTTTAGCCCGCGCGGGTTCGGCAGTCTGGCTTCCACGGCTGCAGGTACCAGTACACAATGCTCTACATGGTCGGGCTCATGGCACGAGTCCAGCACGTGGCAGGAGCCAGAGCTCTACAGCGGGTCTCCTCCTGCCGCAGTACCCAGTACATCTTTCTCTACATGGTCAGGCTCTCAGCAGGAGCCACAGGCGGGACAGGAGCCACACTTCTGCTCGCGATGGTCAAGTTCACCGAAGACTGGCCCCCCACGTCGCCGCGGCAAGGGCGGCACGCGCAATGTGGGGCTCGAGTTCATAGGCTTCAATTGTTCTTCTTGGGCGCAGGCCATCGATGTTTTGGACGAGGCCGCCACAAGGAAGATCGTTGGCCCCATGCACATCACTTTCCTTCAAGAGCATAAGCTGAGTGCGCCCATCGCCAAGGACATCGAGGCGGCCAGCTTCAACAGGCATTACACGGCAGCATTGGTCCCAGCCGTCAGCGGCCCAGGCGGACGTCCGTCTAGTGGAGTTGGCTTCCTCGTTCCAAGAAATGTTGGCCTCGCGCATCTTGAAGGCATGAATACGTTTGATATCTCACCGCCTGGGTCGTCTGGCCGCGTGGCTGTGGGCTGGTGCTCTGCAGGCCAGAAGGGTGGCCTCATGATTATCACGGCATACTTTTGGACACGGGAAGGTTGGACGATTCGCAATTTGTCGATTTTGGAGGCCATTGCAACGGTCATCAAGCAGTATGACATACCTTGGGTATTCCAAGCAGACTTCAACGAGACGGGGGAGTCCTTGCTCAAGACGGGCTGGTGCCAAGATGTGGGTGGAGTTGTGCGTCTCCCTTCTACCACCACATGTTCAGGAGTCGGCGGTGGCAGTATCATCGATTTCTTTGTGCTCGACGCCCGCATCCAGCATGCCTTCGGAGACACTGTAGAAGTGCTAGACACCGCCGCCTCACCGCACTCGCCTGTTCGCTTAGTCATGCAGTCCAGGATGCGAGCAAAAGGCGGCTGGAGGCTTGCCAAGCCCAGACCTTTCCCAATGGAGAGGCCGTTCGGACCAGTTCCGCAACCTGCACAGTGGCCAGCTTTCGATCATCAGGACGATTTAAATTGCACCCAACTCGATCAGCTTTGGAAGCAGATTTCATACAGTGCTGAAACAGAGCTGGTGAATCTCCTGGGCGTGGAAGAACCTCAATCCTACCTCGGTCGGGGTGATCCTCCTCGGTGGACCTGGGCCCCCCTCGCTGGTCCTCAGTCGCACGCACGCCCCAGGGGAACACCTAGCTCCCGAGCTTGGCGGTGGGTCGCCGCTCGAGCCAGTGATTTTATTTTTCTTGCACAGGCTGCCCAGCAGGAGGGCACCCGGCTGCATGCACGCGCGCGACGAGCGAAGCTCGAGCGTCGCATCGAAGGTGGAAGGGTTCGGCTGGTTCACGACTTGGGGGAGGAGGCTGAGCACGTAATCGCCCAGTTTGAACGATATCGCGCCTTTTGTCTCGAGGGCCCAGCGCTCATGGAGCAGGCCCCTGAGATCATGGGTCTCCAGCGTCGCGCAGTTGGCAACGCTCAGACCATCGAACGGCAGCAGGCAGCCGCACGATCGAAAGAATGGCGTGAACGTTTGAAGAAAGAGTCGGCAGCAGGCTCTTCTTTCATTCATAGGATCAGCAAGTGGCGTACCCCTCCTCCTCCCGTCACGGGTTACTCCGTCTCCAACCTCGAGCTTGCTGATCCTCAGGAAGCGGCCGACAGGGCCGCGCAAGAATGGTTCGACGTTTGGGGCTCCCATGGACAGGAAAGCACGGGTCCCTCGGACCGACCCTGGGAGGCCGCCTTTTTCGCCCATCCGTTGGTTCACCTGGGCCGCCAGCAGTTTACCAAAATCTGTTTGAGTTTTCCTGCCAGGACGGGAATAGGCTCCGACCACTGGCACCCGCGCTGGTGGGCCTGGCTTTTGGGCGAAGGCAAAGACTGCCTCATTCAGCTGGTGATGTTTATCTCTCGCACGGCACAGTCCCCTTCGCAGGTAGGGTACATGATATACTTCCTACTTTCCAAGGAGTCGGGAGGCACTCGGCCGATTGGGCTCCTCCCCTCTCTCATGCGTGTGGTAGAACGAGCTCACTCTGGCCTCTTTCACGACTGGGAGCGCTCTGCCAAGCGCAAATATGACTCCGGGGGCCCTGGAGGGGGCTCCGAAGAGGCCGCGCGGCACCAGATGGTGCACGATGAGGGGACGCGTGAGGGGGAGGTGTCGGTGACGGGAGTGCTGGATCTGTCGCGTGCGTTTGAACATGTTACCATGAATGCTCTGTGGGTGGTTGCCCCTCTTTGCGGTTTCCCTCGGCAGCTAGCCAAGCTTCTTATCAGTATCTACACGTCCACTAGGCTGGTTGCTTTTCGAGGGGTCCTAGCCAAGAAGTCGCTTCAAACTTTCTCGGCCGTCGTGGCTGGGTCGATCGGTGGCACCAGGGCGCTCAAGATGGTGGTGCTGCAGGTCACCGATGCTATGCATCAAGCCTGGGGGGCTCGCCTCCAGATGAAGCTGTTTGTCGATGATCTTAGTGTCCAGGTCCGAGGAGCCTGGCAATGTCTCACTGTTCTGCAGGCTGCTGTCACCTTCTATATTCGTGAGATTGAAGGTACCTGGCGCATCCCTGTCTCCCGTGGTGCCCGCGGTAAAGGGTGCATCCTCGTCGCCGCGGCCTCGGCTCGGAATCGCTGCGCTGCCTGGGCCAAGGACTTGGGTCTTGCCATCACCAACACCAGTTCCCAGCTGGGAGTGGATAGCGCTGGAGGCGCCGTGGTTCGCAAAAGGAAGAAAATGCAGAAGCGATTTAAATACGCATGCCAGCGCAAGTCTATATTAAAAGCCCTCTCAAAGCAAGGGGCCCGCCTCGCCAGGGTTGTCCGCCAAGGTGTGATCCCGTCCGTGACCTACGGGTCTAGCTGTTTAGGAGTCTCGCCTGTTTCCCTGAACAGAATGCGGGTCATGGTCTCGGGCAGCCTTGGCGGTAGTGCGGTTGGTCGAGACAGAGTCCTCCGACTCTGGACGCATCAAGTTGATCCCGTGGTCGAGGGTTCGCAGAAGCCGATTTGCATGTGGGCCTCGCAGGCCTGGAATGGCGTGCATCAGGTAGATATGGCCAGGGCCTGGCGCAGGGAAATGTCTCGCGAAGCGACTAGACGGAGTCAACCGCTAGATCGCCCTTGGAGCCAAGTTCGAGGGCCTGCGTCAGCCTGTAATCTTACGCTGCAGCGGCTGGGCTGGTCCTGGCCTAGCTGGCATACTATTCGCATTCGCACTGGTGAACTGTTTGATATGCGCCGATCGGCGCCCAGCACGTTGCGCAAGTATATCTATCTTCGTTTGGAGGATCAAGAGCTCACCGACTGGGCCACGCAGCGTGGCATGCCGTTTCGGAAGCCCTTCCTTGAGCCTTGTCGCGCGGCAGTCAGGACAAAAAAGAAGAAGGGCCAGAAGCAGTCGGCAATGCTAGCTTTCCTGCGCGGCGATTTTTGGACGCAAGATAAGGTTTGGAGAGCCGGCCACTCGGAAGATCGAAGCTGCCAAAAATGCGGACACGCCATCGGTAACCAGCACCATAGATTCTGTAAGTGTCCAGCTTTTCAGGAGCAGCGCCAGGCTGCAGGTGAATCCTATCCAGATATAATCCACCGTGCCTCCTCCTCGGGCTCCTCCTCCCACCTCTTCTCCAGGGCTCTCGCGCCTCGCCCACTGGGGGGCCCCTTCCAGGACGTCACGCCCAGCATTGAGACCCTGGGCCCCGAGTACGGGGACGATCCCCTTCTCTCGGGCCTGGCCTACTCGGATGGGTCGGGGGTCGGGGTCTCTGGGCTGAAAGCGTTCGGTTGGGGCTTTTGCTTTGTAGATCAGCAGGGTAACGTACGCAAAGCAATGCATGGCACGGTTCCAGGTGTTAGGCAGGCACAGAGTGTGCTTAGGGCAGAATTGTATGGCTTTCTGAATGTTCTTCGGCACGGCACGGCCCCTCTTCAGGTATGGATCGATAATTCCACAGTCGTTCGGGGCTTCAGGCGAGGCCCAGTCTGGTGCCGCCAAGCCAGGCGACCGCATGCCGATTTATGGCACATGATTTGGAATGCGATTGAAGACTCGTTCTCGGGGGAGGGGGGCCTCGTCGTCGTCAAGGTCAAAGCGCATTCCAAAAAGGCTTATGCCCAGCAGCTCGAGGGACTCGAGCTTTGCAACTACCTCGGGAATCAATGCGCCGACCTTCAAGCGAAGGAGGGCGCCAAGCTTGACGCCATCCCGCCGCATGTCCGTGACACGTGGGTGTCTAGGTCAAAGAAGTAAGTGCTGTTCTTGGGCTTGTCGGTGACATGACTTGTAAGATAGGCACGTTTGATGACACTACTGGCCGCCTTCAGAATGCCTCCCAGCCCCCTGGCCCTCGGCCGCGCCGTGCGGTGCTGCCTCCTCCTGAGTCTCGTCACGTCCTGGAGTGGGATCGGGGGTCTTGGAGGTGTGTGAATTGCGCCAGACGGGCCCACAGCTATACGGCCAAGCTGGTGTTGTCTCGTAAGTTTTGTAGGAAGGGTTTCTCCTCCCACGGTAAGTGGAAGGAAATAGCACGCGTCGACGGGGCTCCTTTGCAGGGGCCAAGGCGACACAAGCTGTCTCGGATAGGCCACTATACTTTCTGTCGTAAGTGCGGCGCCTTTTTGAGCGCCAGGGCTTGTGGTCTACTTACAGGATGTCCTAAGGACCCGAGGGATCACAACGCCAAGACTCGGCGTAATCGATTGCTGGCAGGTAAGCATCCTTATAAGAAAGAAAGACTGCCTGGAGAGGCGGTCGCGCTGCCAAGGACCCAGGAATTGGAGTTTCTTGAGTCGATTGGGATTGCTGCCAGAGCTTCTTCCTCCGCCGCTGGAAGCGGCGTAGAGGCCCAGTCTTCCTCCGCCGCCTCAGGCGGCGCGGAGGTCTAACCAGGTCTGTCGCAGGTGGACGCGAGGTGCTCGCCCACGCTGTGCTCGCGGGAAAAAAAACCTCCATGGCCGCATGCAACGAGATCTGCTCGGATCTCGCCGACTCCTCTTGAGAAGGGGGCGACGGCGACGACGAGGGCGAGGACGAGGGCGAGGGCGAGGATGACGAGAGAGAGAGAGAGAGAAACAAAAAAAAGAAAAAACAAAAAAAAAAGGACAGGGCGCGAGGATGACGAGTTTCTGGAGGGGGAGGGGACGACGATGGCGACGGCGAGGACTGGGACCGCTCAGGGGGGATCGCCACCGGGGTGGTCGCCAGCTCCTCCGCGGAACCGGGGTTCCAGGGTCGAGGGCCGCGGAGGCGTTGGGCTTAAGTCGGGCGTGTCCCTCTACAGGGGGAATCTTCGAAAATGGTGAAAAATACTCTGGGGACGATTTTTTGATTATTTTGTTGCAGCAATGTTTACATAGACTTCTGTATGTGTTGTCCTTCGTCCAAAATCCGCTTGTTGGAGGACATGCCCGACCTAACGTTGGGCGGCTGTTGGCGTTCTGGCGGAGCCTGCGGCTCCTGAGGGGACCTCGCAGAGGCGATGGCGTCTCCCCCCCCTTGCGGTGACCCCTCTTGGCGCTGCCCGGGGGGTGGTCGGAGAGCGAGGGAGGAGTGAGGAGGGTGACGATCCTGATCCGTGACTCTCCACCTTCCATACCTTCCGACCAGCAGGCGGCTGAGTTAGTGATCTTCTCGAGGGACAAGAAACTGCATAAACATAAACTGTCCGAGCCCCGCGCGGATTTTTGTTGATTGGCGCTGGACCTCCCTGGCGGCGCCTTGGGCCACCAGAGTGCGCTCCGCGCGCCAGGGAGGGGGTCCAGCAGAGATCCCAGAAATCCGCGCGGGGTTCGGAAAATTTACGTTTGCAGCTCCTTGTCCCTCGAGAAAGGGCACTGACTCGGCCGCCTGCTGGTCGGAAGGTGTGGAAGGTGGAGAGTCAGGGATGATGTTGAGGGCATTCGCAAGGGTCGGCGGCGAGCCCAGTGTGGAAGTGAGAAGGGGCGGTGTTTCTCAGAAGGCTCGGAAGTCCCCTGGCCTTCTGAGAAGTGTTCTGCGCCTTCCCCAAAGACGCAAAGACCCTCTCAGAAGGCCGGGGGGCTTCTGAGAAGTGCCGCCGCCTTCTGAGAAGGCCTTCTCCTTCTCACTCCCCCCCTCGCTTGCCGCCGAAAGGGGGAAGGCGCCGATCTGGCTGTGGTGCAACACGCGCTGCGAATTCCTATTTCCCCGCGCAGGGGGAGCGGGCGGGCGATGCTGCGGCGCCTCCGCTCCCTCCCGACGACCACCCCAGCTCTCTTCCTGCCTGGTCGGCGTCGTCGCAGACAAGGAGGCAGAGTTTCTCTCCTGGCTCCCCGCCTGCTGTCTCCCCGCTGTCCCTTCTAGATGCCCGCCCGCACATCGTCTCCCGTCAGCCCTGGCCTTGCGCTTGCGCTTTCGTCGTGGTCGTTGCCTGTCTCTCCTCTTGAGTCCCCTTCGCCGTTCAGCGCAGACTGCCTGGAGATGGCGGCGGTTGTTGCTGATGGTCTCAGCGTTGTTTCAGTTCTGGGGGGGACTCGCGGGGAGGAGGGAAAGGGGAGGAGAGAGGAAGGATTTGGAAGGAGGGACGGATTCATGGAGGAGGGAGGATGCATGCGGGAGCGAAATGGAAGGAGGAGGGAGGTGGGAAGGAGGGACGGAGGAATTGATGCGCGAGGATGGATGAGGGACAGAGGCTGGAGAACTAGGAGGTGGAAAGGATGCGAGGAGGAAAGAGAGAGCGATTTGGGAGAAGGGAGAGGGGAAAAGGATGGACAAAAGACGATGACGATGACGATGATCATGATGACGATGACGATGACGATGCTGATGATTATGATGTCGATGACGATGATGCTGATGATGATGGTGATGCTGATGCTGATGATGACGATGATGACAATGATGATGATGATGATGATGCTTATGCTGATGATGATGGTGATGGTGATGAATATGGTGATGGTGATGATGGTAGTGATGGGAGTGATGCTGATGATGATGGCGACGACGACGACGACGACGGCGACGACAACGATAATGCTGATGATGATGATGATGATGCTGATGATGATGATGATGATGATGATGATGATGATGCTGATGATGCTGATGATGCTTATGCTGACGACGAGGTTTATGATGAAGATGACGACGATGACGACGACGATGATGTTTGAGGAGGAGGAGGAGGAGGAGGAGGAGGAGGAGGGGGATGAGGACGGGGATGAGGATGCTGATGCTGATGCTGATGTTGATGATGCTGCTACTGCTGCTGATGCTGCTGTTGATTGTGATGATGCTGCTGCTGCTGCTGCTGCTGCTGATGATGATGATGATGATGATGATGATGATGATGATGATGATGATGATGATGATGACGATGACGATGACGATGACGATGACAATGAATGATTATTGGGAAGGCCGTACGGCGTCCACGACGTGACCACGACGGCCTCGTCGGCGGCGTCGGCGGCGACGACGACGCTGACCAACCCGAAGGCCCCAATTTGCCGTCCATTCCCAGTTGGGGGGGCGTCGGGGAACATTGAACAAAAAAACATGCGGAACCCCTAACCCTGGGAAGCAATCAGTACCCCCCCCCCCCTCATCAGAGGAAATTATAACGCTTCCGGCACCGGGGCCGGGGCGGAAGCGATATCCCCCGCAGGTCACCAGAGGTCCGCGGAGGGGAAGTCCCCGGAGGTTCCCAGGAGGCATCCAGAAAGGCCTCCACAAGCCTCTGAATGCCCGGTCCCCTTGTAGTCCAGAGCCCAGCGACAAGGCACACCTGCCCAGAGTCGCTTCCTGTGATTCTGTGCGTTTCTGTGAGATTCCTCAGAGATTCCTCTGATACTCCGATTGGCTTCTTTTGAGATTCCTTGCCGTTTCCATTGTGATTATTTTGGGACTCCTTTGAGACTCCTCTGGTGTTCCTTTGATGTTATTCTGGGGGTCCCTTGAGGCTCCGGTCATATCCGTTTGATACCCCATTGCTTAAGAGAGCATCCCATCGACATCCGGCGCCTGTGGATTATTTTATTTTTAATACATGTGCTAACATATCGCGGGGGGGTTCGCGGAATGCGTCTGCGAAATCTCTCCGTGGACTCTCCCATAGGATCCCCTGAAATAATCAATTTCCCTAGTGCGGTCGCAATAGGGATTGCTTATGTCCACGCGAGCCCGCGTTTTCCAAATTCCTTAGATTCCTTTGTGGTTCGTTTGAGCTGCCGCTGAGATGCCTTTGCGATTTCTGTTGGGCTCCTTTGAGATTGCTTTGAACTTCCATTGGTTCCTTCGATATCATGCGTGGGATTTCTTGTGATATTCTTATGGGATTCTTTTGGGGGTTCTTTCGAGTTCCTCTGACATTCCTTCGACAATCCCTGAAGGGAGCATCCCATCGACCTCCGGCGCCTGTGGATTATTTTATTTTCAATAAATGTGCTAACATATCGCGGGGGGGTTCGCGGAATCCGTCTGCGATATCCCTCCGTGGACTCTCCCATAGGACCCCGTGAAAAAAAGAAAAAAAAAATCCTTATTGCGGCCGCAATAGAGTTTGCTTATGTCCACGCGAGCCCGCGTTTTCCAGATTCCTTAGATTCCTTCGTGGTTCGTTTGAGCTGCCGCTGAGATCCCTTTGCGATTTCTGTGGGGCTCCTTTTTGAGATTTTTTTGAATTTCCAATAGGGATCCTTTGAGATTCTGCGTGGGCTTCCTTCTGAGATTTCTCTGGGATTCCTTTGGGTGGTCCTTTCAAGTATAGTTGCTTGCGGTGATTTCATTGTTTGTCATTTTTGATTTCGCAAGGCGGGAACCCATTGGCACGCGTTCGTGCGCGTTGGTTCTCCAGGCTGTCGCCTCGCGTTGCCGCCAGCTTCGGGCCCGGGGGGGCAAATTAATTAATTAATTACTGTATTTTATTTTTTATGTGCTAACGATATCGCCGGAGGGCGCCGCCCAAAATAATTATTTATTTTATTTTCTGTGCTAGCGATATCGCCGGGGGGGTTACTGTTTGCTTGCCAGGGCTACCCCGCCCCAACCCGAAATTTGTGTCTTCGGGTTGGGTTGGCTTGGTCTTGGAGGTAGTCACTTTCCCCCTCCGTTTCCTCCCTCCTCCCGCTCTCTCGCCACATTCTGCCTCCTCCTGCTGCTCCCCTCGGCTCCCACCCCCTCGGCTTGCTCCTCTCCGCCCCCCTCCCCCCCCCTCCTGTCTCCTCCTCTCGAGGAGGGCAGGAGGGAGAGGAGAGACGAGCTCTGTCCCCCGCCGAGAGAGAGGGCGGGAGGGGGGGCGCAAACCTAAACACCATCTAGGTGGTTACCCCTTTCAATCGCACTGGGCTCGTGAATCCCGAGCCGTTTCTTGACCGTCCCCGTCTCCTCCAACCTCAGGCCCTGCCCGAACCGTGCCGACCGCCGCTTCGGAGGCAGCGATTGCTGCCCACAGGGAGCGGAGCCAGCCACCCTCCCCGCCTTTTGGCGGTGCCCCTCTGAGGGCGGAGGTGGCTGGGGGGGGGGGGTCCCTAGGTTCCGGGCGGGAACCTCGGGGTCGCGGGCCCTTCTCTCCTCTCCCGCGCCTCCTCGCTTCCGTGCGCGCGGTGCCTCGCAGAACGCCCCCCCAGGAACGTCCACCCTCACGCCCCCAGACATGCGACGTCCTGACTTTTTCAGGACGGGGTCCCCGGAAGTCCCGACCCCCTCTTCCCCGGGACCATATTCTCTTCCTTTAATAGTTTCCGGACGCTCCCGAGGCCCGGCGAGGGCCCCCCGAGTCCGAGAATGGCCAACAACTTCCCGCCCTGCTCGTTTTTTAACGACGCGATCGCGTCTTGTGGGCCCTCTCCGCCCTCTGCCTGCCTGCTGCTGCCGCCCTCCCCCCCTGCAGGGCGCCCTGGCCGCCCGCCCCGCCGCCGCCCGAGCGGCGCCTCGGCCGCCCCCGCGCGGCAAGCGGCTCGCGCTGCCGGCGTCCGGCGTCAGCGGGGTGCTGCCCGGGGGGGCTCTCTGCAGCAGTGGCGAGGCGCCCTGGCTTCCCAGATCCCTGACCCCCTCGGGTCAGGAAACAATCACGACGGGAGGTTTCTCACTATTTTCGGCCTCCGGGGGCCCTAGCCGGGCCTCGGGACCGTCAAAAAACGACTCAGGATGAAGAGCCGGTCTCGGGGAAAGGGTCGGGACCTCTGTCGCGTCATGAAAAAACCATGATGTCGGGGGTCTGGGGTGGCGAGGCGCCTGGTTTCCCAGATATTACACCAGAGAGAAGCCCCAATCAGTGGATGGTTTGTTTTTGCTGAGGAGATCGACCGGGAACCCGGGAGCCCGGGAACCCAGAACCCACCGAAGTCGGCCCGGAACCAATAACCTGGAACCCGCGCGGGAACCCGGGAACCGGGAACCCGGGAACCCAGCCTGCTATCAGAATCGGCGGGAAATTTTCGCCAAATCTTTCAACTTCCGCTAGGACCCCTTCAGTGCAAGCACTGATTGGGGAATGATGGGCCCATGATGGGAGGTAGGAGGAGGAGGTAGGAGGAGGAAGAGGAGGAGGAGGAGGAGGGGGAGGAGGAGGAGCTCCTCATCCCCCCTCAAAATAAAGCCCACCAAACACTTGCCCATCAAGATAAGCCCACCAAGGCATGTTCCAAGAACCTTATGTGGTTTGCGCGACGTGTTCTCAGAGCATGTCTTCTGGCTGAGACCGCTTCCTTCGAGCATTGGGATTATTTCTGCTCTAAGAACGCTGCATGTGTTCTTCGAACATTTTTGGGGTTCTAAGACCACGTCGTGGTAGGCCTATAGGAATGCCGGGACGGTCGGCCCCTGCGTAAGGATCGGGCAGTGCCAAGGGCGGGGGTCACCACCCGGGTCGAGCAGGGTGTCGGCTACAGCATGGAGTTGCCCCACAGCTGCTTTTTCATCGAGTCCACCGAGATAAAAAAAAGCTGGGTAGTCGAAGGCCAGACTGTCAGATTGGATTGGGCCCCAAGGGCCAATCTGGCCCGGCCAAACTGGATGATTTGGGTTATTCGCCAGACTGGATTCGCGTTGGCTCCCTCGCCAGATTGCCCCCGTTTGCCAGATTGGGCCTGCCAGATTGGCGCCAGATTGGCTTCGACTACCCAGACCGAGAAAAAAAAGCCTAGCATGCGCGCACGTCTACGAACATCCTACGTCGTTTTGCCTGTGGATTCGACGGGAATTTCAATTCTGGGGTGCATCAGTGCTGTAGTCGACCCCCTACTCTCGACCGGGGGGTCACCGGCGCCGCCAGGAGAATTGGAGGCTCCGGCATCGGAGTTCGAGAGGGTTTTCTGCGAACGCCCGGGGTCATTCTGGAGGGCATTGGCGTGTTTCGCGCGGGCCTAGGGCGAGAATAACCTCCTTCCACAGCCCTGACCTCTGCCCTTCCCTTTGCTTTGCTATCCTACCCTTTTCGGACGGAATCTGTTCAAGAGCGTTCTGGAACGCTCGTAGGGCGTTCCGCAACGCCCTGAGAAGGCCACGGCGCCCGAGACATCCTCCAGAGCCGCCGAATCTCAGAGATTCTCGATCTATGCCCACCCGACTTTGCCCTCGTCTTGGCTTCGTCTTCATGTTTGTTTTGGGGGGGCGCCTCACGAGTGCCCTCAGTGCCTCCCCCCTCCTCCCTCCCTCCTCCCTCCCTCCCTTCGTCGCATCGCCTCCCTCCCCTCCCCCCAAGCTCCCCCCCCCCTCTGGAGACGGAGTGTCGCTGCTTACCCTCGCGCGCCATGTTTGTGCAAAGCCTGCACGCGGTGGCCGGCCGTGGCCCAGCGGCCGTTCTCCCCGTGTGCACTCGCACACGCTCTGCCGCTGCGCCGCCAGGGCGCGCGGCTCTTGCTGCTCCGAGGCCCTGCCTCCCGAGGAGCGCCGTGCCTCCCCGAGGCAGTGAGGGGAGGGCCTCCTGCAGGCGCCCTCGCGCGCGTGCGGCGCCGGCTGCTCCGCGGCTCGGCATCGCTCGGGCGTGTGCGTTTTTTCCTCGGCGGGGACCATCGCGGAGCATCCTTGATCACTTGGCGAAAAACCCACGCACGAAACAAAAAAACGACACGGGGAATGGACGTCCGAGCGATGGCCAGGCGGGGCTCCAGGCCTTGGGCTGCTCTTTCCAGCGGCTGCGCCTCGCCGAGAGCGGTCCTCAGAGCCCGGAAGCATCAGGGCTGGGGGGGGGGGCCAGGGGCCTGGAGACGGGGGTCAATGCCAATGGGAGTCAGCCAGCGCGCCCGATGTTGCAGGATCCTGCAGGGCCAGGGTTGCACTGGCCCGGGTGTGGGTGCAGGATCCTGCAGGATCTTGCAGGATCCTTCGCGTTGACCCGGGTTTGGGTGCAGGAGCCCGGAATCATCAGGGCTGGGGGTGGCCAGGGATGGCGACAGATTCTCGAAGAAGCAGAAACGCCATAAACACATAAATTTGTGGCGCTCTGCGCGGGTTTCTTGGATCCGCGCTGACCCCCCCCCCCCGGCGGCGCCTCCGGCGCCGCCCCTGGCGCGCTCCGCGCGCCAGGGAGGGGGGTCCCGCGCAGAACCAGGAAACCCGCGCGGACCTCCCAAAGTGTAGGTTTATATGGTTTTTTGCTCGTCGCTCGCATCTCGGGGGCCCAAACCGGAGTTTACCCCGGACCGCAGTTTCAACGGCACTTTAACGGGTACTTATTAACGGGTACTTTGCAATTTTGCCGAAAGTTGCCACTTTAGGGCCTCTTTCTGGCAATGCAGCGTTGCCCGCATCGGGAAGGGTTGGGTTCGCTGGGTCACTGGCCAAAGTACCCGTTAGTGGAGTCCCCGTGTGTGGGGCGCTGACAGTTGTCCGGGATACCTTGGGCGCCAAGCCCTCCCGCCCCCTCAGGGCTGGGGGCCGGCAGGGGCTATACGGCAGCTCCGCGCCTCGGAGGCCCACGCCGGAGCTGCTGCCCCGGACCGCACCCCTTCTCGGATACATTGGAGCGTCCGAGCTCTTGGGGAGCCGAGACCTCGAGGCTTCCTAAATGGGATCCGAGTAACCCCAGGAAGCATTTAAGAACCCCCCCCCCCCCCTCCGGCAAATCGATAACCCTTCCGCACCCTGGAAGCGTTACCTGGCACCAGGAGCCTCTCCTTGTGTCCGGGTGCTACAGCTATCGTTCGGTTATTTCGGCACCTCGGAATATCGAATAAAAAATGCGGTGCTACGATATCGTCGGGGGGGTTCTTAAATGCTTCCTGGGGTTAGATGGGGTCCGAGTAGATGGGTATCGGACACACCGGCTGGGGCCCCCTTGACCGCAGACACCTCTCGAAGTTTGGACCCCGCCAGCGTTCACGGAGTCGGACCTGCAGGGGTATGGTTCAGATTTGCATGAGGCTGCTAAGGGTTGGGCCCCTCGCCAGGCCGATTTGTTGGAAGACCCGGGCCCACGAGCTCGCGACCCCCATCCCCGGGACTGGTTGCACGCCGTGGGCCGTTTTCCTGCTCCCTGCGGGCTCCAGCGCCGCAGTTCTGCGAACGCGCGCGTGCAGCTTTCCCCGATCGCGACGCATCGAGGCTCGGGGCTTCCCCGCTCTGGCTCGAGCATGCCATATCTCCCTCCGAAGGCCTCTGGAGACATCCGATGGCGCCAGACCACGTTCCAGAAGCCTGCGCAGTCCTCCCTCCATCCCCTCCTTCCTCAGGAGGGAGCAACAACACACAGACACAACTAATCGTCGATCCCCCATAAGATATGGGAAAATATGGGAAGTGGGGGGGCAGACGAAAACCCAGAAAATAAGGAAAATATTGGGAATCCAGTTATTTGCGTCTATTTATTTGTGTGTCCCAGGGCCCCTTCACTTCCCTCCCCCCCATCACGCCGCGGCCCAGGATGCTCCCACACAGGGACGGGCACCCCCCAGACGGGACCTCCCAGGAGGCCAGAAGGCTGGCCGCGAGCGCGTTCGCCGCATAAGTACGGTGGACGGCCTCGCTTGCCTCCCGACCTTGAAGCGCACAAGTCAAGCCCTGGCCAAGGAGGAGGACAGGCGAGGGCGAGGACGAGGAGGAGGAGAGCCACCTCCCGATCGTCCTCCTGACCACTTGAATCCGGTTGGCCGGCGTGAGGTGCACAGGAGGCGCGTCGGCGAGTACAGGGCGAAGGTCTGCATCGAGCACGTGACCGTCTACACAGGAAGCGCTGCCCCTGGTCCTCTTTCTCCCCTCTCCTCCTCACTTTTTGAGTCCAGGGGTTTGGAGGGTTTGGAGCATGGAAGGAGGAGGAGGACGAGGACGAGGACGAGGAGGAGGAGGAGGAGAAACACAGGAGCAGGAGCAGGAGCAGGAGCAGGAGGAGGAGCAGGAGGAGGAGCAGGAGCAGGAGCAGGAGGAGCAGGAGGAGGAATAGGAGGAGGAAGGGGGGGAGAGGGAGGAGCAGGAGGAGGATGAGAAATGCTTAGTACGTCTTCCGGTGTTCTTGGGCCCACCATCCCACCCAAAACAGGAAAAGTACCAGCATCACCCCACCACAATAATTCTTCTGTTAGTGGGGGGAGGGGGTGGAACAATTGAGCCGCACAGGCATTCGAATGCAACCCCCCAGCATGAGGAGGAGGAGGAGGAGAAGGAGGAGGAGGAGGAGGAGCAGGACGAGAAGAAAATGGCAAAGAGCTCGCATAACATCCAGTTAAACATCGCCACAACCACACGCAACACACGCAACGACTATGTTTCAGCGCCCGGAACCCAAACCCAGACGACTCCACAATCCCCCGTTCTCCGCCCCCCCCTGCTAACAGCACCTGAAACATGGGGTCCGACGCTCTTGTCTGTACTG